TTTAACTGATCCTTCTTTATGTCAAGACTAAGAACTGATACATAAGTTCTTGTATTGAATGTTTACAGGCTTTCAAGGGTTACTCAATGTTGACTGGTCATTTAATCTTTGCCTTATTGTTACTTTTTCAGGTAAGTCATACATAATTCAAGAAAAAAAAAAATAAGTAAAAACTCTCTTACAATTTCTTTTCATGTTTTCCTTCCAGGTCCGAAAGTTGGACAAAGCAAACTATGTCCAGGTAATAATTATATATGTACCTTCTAATCAACTATATGTTAACCAATGAACAATAAATTATTGAAATTTTGATCACATGTTTGATTTTATCATGTTTACAGGAAGCCAGCACAAATTTTTATCAATTCCTTTGGAGGCTTCTTTCATTAGAGTTTCTTTTATTTCCTTTCATATGACAAATTAGTTGCCCGTTAATTGTATGTTTTTCCCATATAACTATTGTAAGGTGGGAGATAAAGTGAGCTCTGTGTAGCTATGTTTAAGATATATATTATCGTTTTATTTCTTTTGATTTTGAATAAAAGCATTCGAGACAAATATTATAATTTTAATTGATTATATCAGTAGTATATTAATACTTTAGATTGATTGTAATCAATCGATCGATCTAAGTATGATCATGTGTTTATGGTTATTGTATTAGTAGTAGTTGCTATTGTATTTTTTTTAAGAGAAAGAAATTGCTATTGTATTTATACAAAACATTATGTTAAAATAAACAAGAATTAAAGTATCATTGATATGTTTTTGCAGTAGTTTATCATATTTCGTCGAGCAGGAAAAAAGACATTAGAAATTAATTTTGAGCTTTCCTTGTAGTACGTTTTAATTTTCGTCTTTTCTGAATACGGATATTAGAATCAATAATATTTTTTACTGAAAATGTTATGTTATATTAATTAAAAAGAAGAGAAAATTATTCAACTTATTTTAGAGTGAGTAGTACTTCTGAATTTTTATTCTTTTACTTTAGATTAATGCCATTTGCACTAATATAGTTTTTTGACAAAGAAGGATATATATCAACCAAGAATAAGAGATAAAAATCTAGACTCATACATTCTAAGAGGTATTTGTCTCATTTTCCCAATTAAAAATGTTTGTTATGTGATGGTATTTAGAAGGAAAAAAAATGATCCTTCCTTGCTATTAGAGAAAAAAAAAATATATATATCTTTTTTCTGAAAAAATTAAATTTTGAAAGACAAATAGTATTAAATATTGAACAGTTAATATTAACAATTTATACTTAATCACGAGTGGTTCTATCCACACCCCTTTTTTTACTCTGCACACTCCTCTTAAATTATAAACTTCTTATTACAAAAAAGCCCTTAAATAAAATGGCAAAAAAAAGACAATAATAACGAGTTTTTTTTTTCTCTCCACACACCCAACATATCATATTCTCAAATTATAAACTATATCTAATTCAAAAATACATAACAAAACTCAAAATTTCACTTTTCAATGATTATTCTCAAAACTTACATAGAAGTATGTTTAATTTTCTTTAATTTCGTTGAATGAAGATTTTTACATTTTGTTTTTTCTTTTGCATGGTTATATTTATTTACTAATCAATCTTTTAAGCAAATCATATAAATATAATAACACGCTAATGTATGCATCACGTTTTGTATAAAAAAAGATTAATTATCATTTTTTTTCTAAATTATGATTCTTGTAATACTTTATCATTTGATTTTTAAAATATAATATTTGTTCTTCTTGAAATATGAAACATTAATAAAAAAAAATCGTTGTCCGTTAGAGTTTCTAAAAGACATGACACTTGTCACACACATATATTGATGGTTCGTAAATAGTTTAGTGCAAAATTATTTTTCTACCCACCGCTTTTAAATTTATATTTTTTAAAACATCCTTTGATTTTCATAAATATATATATATTGAGAATTTAAAGTTCCTATACAATTTATTTTTATTATGTGTCATTTTGAAATAATTTTTTCATCACTTTGTTTCTGTTGAAATAATTTCTTTCAAATGAATCCTTACTTTATTTTTTATTATTTTTTTTCTTGTCAAAGACTCATGTACATTTTAATTCTCTTTTGATGTGCTTTTTTGAAATAGTTTTTCTTTCTTTCTTGTTCCTATTAAATAAATTAATTTGAATGTGTCCCTATTTATATTTTTTCATATAATGCTTATTATATCATAAGTGATTCTTGGAAATGTTTTTTTTAATTGGCTTACTAAAACAATTCTTTTTTCAAGTATGTCTCTTTTAAACACCATTTTTACACAACCCATTCGATTACCGTTTTCTCAAGATACCTTTTTTTCCTAATATGTTACTATCACTATTTTTTTTTTTCTTGAATATGTCCCTTACAAAACAAGGGTTCTTCTTGAAATATGAAACATTAATAAAAAAAAATCGTTGTCCGTTAGAGTTTCTAAAAGACATGACACTTGTCACACACATATATTGATGGTTCGTAAATAGTTTAGTGCAAAATTATTTTTCTACCCACCGCTTTTAAATTTATATTTTTTAAAACATCCTTTGATTTTCATAAATATATATATATTGAGAATTTAAAGTTCCTATACAATTTATTTTTATTATGTGTCATTTTGAAATAATTTTTTCATCACTTTGTTTCTGTTGAAATAATTTCTTTCAAATGAATCCTTACTTTATTTTTTATTATTTTTTTTCTTGTCAAAGACTCATGTACATTTTAATTCTCTTTTGATGTGCTTTTTTGAAATAGTTTTTCTTTCTTTCTTGTTCCGATTAAATAAATTAATTTGAATGTGTCCCTATTTATATTTTTTCATATAATGCTTATTATATCATAAGTGATTCTTGGAAATGTTTTTTTTAATTGGCTTACTAAAACAATTCTTTTTTCAAGTATGTCTCTTTTAAACACCATTTTTACACAACCCATTCGATTACCGTTTTCTCAAGATACCTTTTTTTCCTAATATGTTACTATCACTATTTTTTTTTTTCTTGAATATGTCCCTTACAAAACAAGGCTTATAATATTTGCAACAAGAATTGATCACTTACATATATTATGTAAAAGCACTTTGAAATGCCCTTTATTCCCAGCAACCGATGTTGAAAGTCGTGCTTTCAATTTCGTTTTCGTATTGCCAACCATTTAACACCAACCTATAAATATTTATTTTTAATTGGTGTACGTTGAAAGTATTCGACATTGTTTTTTTTAACCATACTATGAAGCAACGATGCCTTTTAGGGGTCGGGAAATTAAATTATCTTATCCAATGCTTATGTATTATTATCAAGGTATTTTTCCTTTTGGTAATTATATATCTTCTCTTACTGGTGTATATATCAAACGAAAGCGAGCAGTAAAAACATATCTTCGATATATACATTTTACATGAACGATTGAATCAATTTAATTATCTAAGGTACTACTATACTATTGACATAAACTCACAATTATAATATTTGTCTTGAATGCCTTTTTTCAAAATTAAAAGAGATGACATAAACTCATGATTATAATATTTGTCTTGAATGCCTTTATCAAAATTAAAAGAAATAAAATGATGATATCTTAAAAATATTACACACAACTCAATTTATTCCTTACCCCACCCTAGTCTATACGGGAAAACGTATAATCAACTGGCAATTAATTTGTTACATGAAAGGAAATAAGAGAAACTCTATATTAATAAGGTTCCAGAGAAATTGATAAAAATTTGCACTTGCTTCCTGCATACACACGATAAAAGTTAAAAATATGATCAAAATATCAATAGCATATCACTCAATTAATTAACATATTGTTGAGTCAAAGGTGCATATTTTATAATATTTACCTTGACATAATTTGCTTTGTCCAACTTTTTCGCCTGAAAGAATACAAAGAAAAGAAGTTAAATTATAATAAGAGAAGTTAATATTTTCTTGTACGTTATCTTTTTGGGATCATTTATGGTGGAACTACTTTTTTAACTGTTATTGTTGGATTAGTTTTTTAACGGTTAAATATGTGCAAGTCCGTATTAAAAATTTATAGCGCACCGCACAAAACTGTTGGATTAATTTTTTAACAGTTAAATATGTGCAAGTCCGTATTAAAAATTTATAGCGCACCGCACAAAATTGCTCTTGCTACAGATCTGATCGTTAAAAAAGTAATCTAATAGTTAAAAAAAAAAACAGTGCTCCATTGATAGAGCATTTATTGGGATTCCACCACAAAAAATCCCTTATTTTTTTCTCAGGTTATGTGAGGCATACCTGAAAAAGTAACCATACGGCCAAGATTGGGTGAGCAGACAACATTAAATAACGCTTGAAAGCCTGAAAACATCAAATGAGCGACTTTATGTATCAGTCATAGTCTTTACATAAAGAAGGGCCGGTTAAAGGAAAAAAAAATTAAAATGAAGAAAACACTGGAGAAATCTTTTTTGTTTTAAATGTCTATCAACTTGGTTTTTCCTTTTTTTTTTCTACATGTAACTTTTGCACAGTTGGTAAATTATCTTCTCAGATAAGTTATAATCTTATCTTATTTGTAAAGACAAAATTGTTATTTACTTAAGTGATTCTTTTTTTCTTCCCCTTATCTGTGGGACTTGGAGCCAATAACCGATCATTTCAAACAAATCATAACACCAACTAAACACAAATTGAGCTAGTTAGTTAATTATAACTTACTTTAATAAATCAACCAGTTACAAGAAATAAATAGAAAAACAAAGGAAAAAATTTATAAGAATTCTTCATGAAAGAATTTTAAATTTAGGATATTTATACAAATATTCTGCTTTCCAAAACAAAACAAAAATAAATAAACATTATATAGTAACCAATTTAATGACAGAGAATTATAAAATTACCTGAGGCATGTAAATGCCAACTGCTATAGCACCACTGTAAGCTAACATCAAAATTCCGGATCCAAGGATTGTAATGTATTTAGGTCCAATTATCGCCGCAAATGTTCGGATGTTATACCTATAATGTTTTTATATTAATTTGAAAACTAATAAATATACCATCTTAAACATGTTTATAAGATGAAAAAGCGATTGATGTAGAACATTTTGAGATTTTGAATCCACAAGATGCGATAATACATATAAACTTACCTCAAGTCACCTTCCAAGTCTGTGATATCTTTTGTGAGGCAAGCTACCGAGTAAAACAAGGCAACAAACGTAATAATGAAAATGTTTGGGGGGCTGCAGGGTGAATTGAAAGCGAAACATTAGATCTCTATAAAGAGTTGAACTAATGTCTATCTATTAATTGAAAAAACAAAAGTTATACTTCCAAAATTTTTTGTTTTTTATTTCTCTTAAGAGAATACTTGTATGTTTTTAGCAACAAAAAATTGCATAGTCAAATAAATTATTTGTTTTTATGTAAAGTAAATGTTGAACGATAATTTAGTTGCTT